AGAGAGAATTGGTTCAATCTACCTGGGATGCAATCAAGCTTAACACCAAGAGAAGGAACAGCAAAAGAGTGAATTACGTCACGGGCCGTAACAATAAACCGTATATGGGTATCAACTGGTACCACAACTCGGTTGTCAACTTCAAGGAGTCTTAAATCCCCTATTTCTAGGTCAGACTCTGGAACCAAGTAAGAATCAAACTCAATAGATTGACCCTCCTGATCCACGTAATCAGAGTACTCATAAGACCAATACCATTGATTACCTATAGCTTTAACAGTCATCACTGGATCGATGACCTCATCTAATAGATAAAGGAGTTTGAAACTAGGGAAAGCAATAGCTATCAGAACGAGTGCTGGTGAGATAGTCCAAATAAGCTCTAGAACCGTTCCATGGTTAAGGTATTTGTGAACGATCTGGTTATGGTTCCAATTGAAGTTGCGGATCGTGGACATAAGCATCCAGGCTACCCCTACTAAGATAAGAATAAGGTAGAACATGATATCATCGTGAAGTTCTACTATCCCCTCGTAGCTTGGAGAACCCCCATCTTGAAAGCCAAATTGCCAAGGTTGAGCAGCATCATTGGAGCATAGGTTAGACGATAACCAAATAAGGTTCGATAAGAAAGATAACATCTTTATCAAAGCTATAATCCGGTTGATGGAGAGTGGCACAAATTCCCTCAGGAAAACCGATTCTTCTGATGCAATGGTTCGTATCCGGTTAAGAGCCGTGCCCATTCCAAGGGCAGCTGACCGGGCTAGAAGAGTTCGGTACAAGGGAATTGAACGAACTATTGCACACTAGGAGATGGGAGGGGGGGGCTTCAGAGAAGCCCGGGGCGGGGCTAAAGCCCGGTGGGATCCTACGGATCCCCCTCCAGCGGGGATCCAGAGGAGCCCCCCCCCGTAGCCCCTAGTAAGTTACCCATGCTAGCAAGAGAGGGCTAGTAATAAGAGGGGTGTAAGAAAAGGCACAGTTAAAGGGAATCGAAGAGAATGAAAACCATTCTCATCATAAGACCAAGAGATCAACTAGCAATAGTGCCAATAAAACTGATGTGGCGCGAAAATGAACACATTAAACCTAGCCCTACACCAGCTCCTGCCTTGCTATGGTTGGGGAACTCCCCCATACCAACCATACCAACCATATCTCCTTTTAATACCGCCTTGCCTTTAGTAGAACCTTATCCTCTATTTTAACGTAGCTTCTTTTTAAGTCTTATAAGACGAATGGTCAGAACCAAGAGTAGCTAAATCTGAGAGGGTATTTTCCATTAAGCCAATGAGAGGAACGAACAGTAAGAAGTAGGAGAAGTAGAATGTAGAACACGCTTGACCAATAGTGATAAAAGGGGGCTCTGGGTGTTGTGACCCGATCCACGTAAGAATAAGGAAGTTAACCACAAAACCCCAGAATAGTAAACGCATAAAAGGACGGAAGGCACAAGATCGGACACGTGAAGTGTCCAGAAGGGGCATGAGGAAGAGAATCAAGATGGACCCTATCATAGCTATTACCCCTAGTAATTTCGAAGGTATGGCGCGCAGGATTGCGTAGTAGGGGAGCAGGTACCATTCTGGTACGATAGAAGCTGGTGTCTGCATTGGATTAGCCGGAATGTAGTTATCAGGGTGGCCTAGAGTATTAGGCAAGAAGAATACGAAAACAGATAACACAAGGAAAAAGACGAAGAAACCTACCAAGTCTT